CTCCAGTGATCCACCTCAGCCTTCCAAGCAGCCAAAACTACAGGTGTGCACTACCACGCCCAGATAGTTTTTTTATTTATTATAGAGATAAGGTCTCACCAAATTGCCCAGGCTGGTCTCGAACCTGTGAACTCAGGCAATCTACTCGCCTCAGTCTCCCAAAGTGCTGGGATTAGAGGCTGAGCCACTGAGATTGGCCTCCTTCCCTTTTTTGTAGAGACAAGGTCTCGCTATGTTGCCTATGCTGGTCTCAAACTCCTGGGCTCAGCAATCCTCCCACCTCAGTCTCCCAAAGTGTTGGGAGTATAGGCGTGAGCCACCACACCAGGACTGGAGTTAGGAAGTTTTAAAAACTCCTCAGGTAGGCTGGGTGCAGTAGTTCACACCTATAATTCCAGCACTTTGGGAGGCTGTGGTGAGAGGATTGCCTGAATTCAGGGGTTCGAGAACAGCCTGGGCAACTTGGTGAGACCTCATCTCTACAATAAATCAAGAAAAATTAGCTGGGAGTGGACATGTGCACTTGTAGTTCCAGCAACTTGGAAGGCTGAGGTAAAAGGATTGCCTGAGCTCAGCAGGTAGAGGCTGCAGGGGCCGTGAGTGTGCCACTGCACTCCAGCCTGGGCAACAGAGTGAGACTCCAACTCAAAAATAAATAAATAAATAAATAAAATAAAACTCTTCAGGTAAATCCCAATATGCAGCTAAAGTTGAGAACCATTGTCTTAAAATAATTTTAATAAAGGAGAGTCAGAAAAAGTAGTCAAGTAAAACAAGCTGAGACCATCAAAACCAAAATGAGGTATGAATTCCACACAACCAGACGTGTAAGAGTGATAGGTTGCCATTGTAAATGAGATTCCTAAAAGCCAAGTATCCTCATTATTTTTCCCCCTCTCCTTCCCCACCTCCACCAACCCACAGTGCCTGTCTTCCTGTCCGTCCCTTTCTATCTAGTCCTTGTGCTATCATCCTGCTTCACTTTGGCACCTGTCCTAGTATAGAAGGCCCTAATTGATCTCCCTGCCTCCTTTTCCTGCTCCCTCCAATCCATCCTGCACACCACCACCAGATTAATCTGCTCATCACCGTCCTCCTCGAAACCTCCAATGGCCTCTTCCTGCTCACTGTGCCAAAACTCCTGAACACGGTGGTAAAAGCCTTGCCCAATCTGTTCCCAACTGTCTTCCTGCTCTCATCTCTCACTGAGAAACGTCTTTCTTGCTCGCCTCACCTCTCACTGGCTGAAAAGGCGCCTCACTCTGTTCAGTAGACCTGGATGCTCTGTTAAAACCAAACTGTGAGTTAGATAGAAATAGAAGCCAAGTCATTTGTCCTAGAGCTCACAGCCAGTGAACTGTAGGATCTGGATTTCAGTGCAGGGTTGGGCTGTGTCCAAACCTCTTAAACACCATCATGTTCTCTTTCTGGAAAGCCTCCTTCCCTATCGACCCGTGGTCATTGTACAGGAAGCATGTTTTTCCTGTCTGAAGTGACTTTTCTGTCCTTTGAGTTCCTATAGCAGTTTATTTACACCTTTCACAAAAAACATCATGACAAGAGTCATATGATGAGTTTTCTGAGGTCTGAGTCATTGTCTTATGGCCTTTCCAGTCCTTGCTAGCACCCTACACAGCACCCCACACACTGTGGGTTCTCAGCAGAGGTCTGGTGAAGAATGAGTTGCTGGGGGGATCCTTTCTGTACTCACCCAGCCACAACAGGAAACCCTTATGAATTTTAGGCACAGAGATGTCCTCTCCCTCTACTGGGGATCCTACCATTTCCCTACTGTATCACTTTCTTGTTCGCTGCCACGAGCCCTCTGCCAACTGCCTATAAAACATTTTGCAACCTGGGACAGGCTGTGGTACCTGGTAACCACACAGCATTCAGGAAGATGCAAATCGTGATACGCAGGAATCATAAAACAAACAAGGGTGGTTTCATTCTTCGGACCCTAAAATGGAAATTGGAAATCAAGATTCAGGTCAAGTTCCCCTTTCAGGCCTTTTTGTCCTTTGTCTCCACTTTACGTGGAAAGAAAAGAGGGGAGGGCAGTAAATAGGTGTGAGCAAAAGCCAGGAAGAGGAAAGGGGGGCAGTTGGTTAGACAGCTATTCTTTCTCAAGAGACCAACAGCATTCTAGGAAGCAAAACTATTTCCTCATTTATGAGAAATTGTACAAGGAACATAAAGCAAGACAAAGACAGCAGGCCAAATGGTGGTTCCCCGTTTTATCTTCTCTTCTGCATCCAGGAGATACCAGTTCTAGCCCTCCCTGCTTCTCTCTACGTTGGCTCAGAGGCACTCAATGGGCTGTTCCCAGTGAGATTCAGAAGAGGCTACAGCTACAGGATAGAAACCACCCATTTAATTTAGCATTTGCCGGCATCTCTGAGGATTAAGTAAAATTAGACAGTGAGTTTTAGACAAGTATAAGGAGAATGGGGGAGGAATTTCCACCTCTTGTCTACCTCCCTGCTCACCCTCTTCCTTGCTGCTCTCATGGAAGAACACATTGCCAAACTGATGCATCATTGTTCTGAAATGCAATCGGGTCCAAAAGGGAGTCCAAGGTCAACTTCCTAAAACCCCGAAGGTAAAGACAGCAGTGAGGAGTTGGGGGTTCACCTCTTCTCACTGTAGGTGTGGAAAAACTACCTCCATTCTCTTAGGTCCCAGCTGCGTCCACTAATTAAACTGACAAAACACACATTAACAGGAGAAGAGCATGCAAACTTATTTACAAATCTTTCATATGGCACAGGAGCCCTTGTAAAGAAACGAGGACCCAAAGAAGCAAGAGTCAATTACTTATATACCAGATAGAACAAAGAATGAAAGCATGAAACAGTGAAAACGTGACAACGTTAAGTAGGAAGTCGTAAAGATAAGCATTATTCAACAAGCTCTGTATAGTCTTCTTTCAATTTCAACTTCTCGTTGAAGATAAGGATGTTGCCTTGCCTTTCCTTCTTACAGAGAGAGTATTTTTCACACGGGAATTTTGTCTTCTGCTCTTATCAAACAGCGCAAAGGACAAAGTGATCTTGCACCTGCTGTCTTTCAAGTGCCTTTCACTTAAATAGTCAATATGCCTGAAGAGCATATTTTAACCCCTTCATCACCCTACAACAAACACCGTTTGTTTGAAATGAATCATTATCAAAACTGGAAACTTTACCAACATTTCTTTTAAGGACCGACCACATGGCTCAAACCTGTCATCCCAGCACTTTGGGAGGCCAAGGTGAGGAGATTGCCTGAGCCCACGGGTTCAAGAATGGCCTGGGTAACTTGGCAAGACTTCACCTCTACAATAAATCAAACAATTAGCCGGGCGTGGTAGTGCGTGCCTGTGGCTCCGGATCCTTGGAAGGCTGAGGCAGTAGGATCGCCGGAATCCAGCAGGTCGACGCTGGGCAACCCCCCAGAAAAGAATCGACCACATGCTGAACGCTGTGCTAGGGCTGGAGATTAAAAAAGAGAAAAGAAAGAAAGAAAGCACTGGCCCCTACTCTTGAGAAGTTTACAGTCTAGTAAGAGAAGCAGAAGTAATTTCTATATGCCATGAGGTTACACAAGGGAAAACTCAGGGTTCCGTGGAAACAAAGAAAAGTTCTGTGAGAGCACAACTAGGGTTAGGGAAGTTTCCCTCAAAGAGATGAGCTCAGAGCTGAGGGCTGATCAACATGCAGGAGTCAGGCCAGAAGGGAGAGAAAGGTGATCCTCAGAATACCACAGAAAGCCCAGAGACAGGTGCAGCGTATTTCCCTCAAAACAACAAAGAATTCCTCCAAATCCTCACATGTCTGTATTAATGCATATCCTATTGGTGGTGGGGGGGGGAAGAGAGCAGGGCATTGGTGAAATATACTTTAAGTGCTGAACTTGGAAGACATGCATTAAAAATGAATCCATAGCCTTCTCTGAAGAGATGAGACAGGCAGAAGAAACAACAAAATTAAAGTAACCTTTTGAATGGCTCTGGTTAAAGGAATCAACTTCCTCATCTCTACAGGAGGGATCAGACTCCAGGTGGCCTCTCAGTCATAAAGCTAGTGTTTACCTCCAAATCGTATGAGGCAGATGAAAAGCAAGCAAAAGAACACATATCTGGCTGTTGTGTAAATTCTAAACCACATCATATTCAAGGAAAGGATGATGCCATAAGCAGTGCAAACCTGTGGAGGGGAGGCCCTGCCTGGCTAAGTCTGCTCTGCTGAAAAGTGGACACAGCACTAAGAACAAGGTGGGGACACCCTTCACAGCTCTGACTCTGCCTACAAGGTGGTGGCCAGTGTGGACTGTGTCCCACACTCCATCCCTTGGAGACTTGGGTATGTGTTGACTTGAGTGGCATAAAGATGTGAGGCCCAGGCTAGAGTGGATGGAAGTAGCAGATGCCAGGAAGCATTTCTGTCATGGGCTTGGCTACGAGCATAGTTTTATTCCTGGCCTTGTAGTTTCTTTGCCCCACGCCTTAGTTTCTCCAGCTTGCAATGACAATGATACAATCTGCCACTAATTTCCCTATTTAGGAAAGATAGATCAAAAACTCCCAACACAGTATGAGCTCCTCAAACAACGGTCATGTTTCCCATACAGCACGACTGATGCTGCCTTTGTTCCCTCGGGGTCATTGCTTTAACTTGAAGTTATTCTGTATCCCACACAGAATAACTTCAAGTTAAAGCAATAACCCCGAGGGAACAAAGGCAGCATCAGCTTTCAATCAGTTTACCACCCTCTCAACAATGTTTATCAAGTACCTCCTAGGTGTTCACTATAGTAAAAACTGATACTTGTTTATCATCGTTTTCTAGTCTCTGTTCGCATCTCTCATTCGTGACTGAGCGATAAGAGAAACCAGCCGAGTTACATACCAGGGTAAACTGTGCTCATGGAAGATTCCATCTCAACCCAGCCCTGCCACATGGGAAATGTGGAATAAAGCCAGTGAGTAAGAAGACAGCAACATGCTGTGCTCAGCTCACCTGGGGATGCTGGTCAGATAGGTCATGACATTCAGAAAGTCCTCCTCTGGGATGTGTTTGAATCCTGCAAACTCTGGAAAAGTGATGATGGGGGCGCCGTCCTCACTGCGACCTCCTGCAACACAAACAGGTGGTCAAGACGTTGGCTAAATTTTGTCACGTCACGCCTCTGCAGGGAAGGGGCTTTGACTAAGAGCAAGTCGGGAGGTGGAATATTAGCCTCCTCTTTTTCTATGTTACCTTGGACTAGAATTTGCGAAAGGTTAACGTGGAAGTGTTTTGAACAAGTCTCTTTCTCTTCTCCTTCATGCTTGCTCAGTGGCATTGTAAGAACTCAGTTTTTGAATCCTTTGAAGATAGTTACCATATAAAAGGCAATATTGATTATTTAGCATAGGTATAATAGTAAGTAATGCAAATAGGTAATATTGCTGTTCATTTTTGTAGCCAGTAAATATCAAAGGTAATACCACATGGTGGTTAAAAGAATTAACTCTAAAATCAGACAGCTTGGTTCTGCTTACCTTTCAATTGCTTTATGATTTGTGGCAAGACACTTAACCTAAGTGGGAGTTTATATATATATATGCATATATATGCATATATGTGTATTTCCTGCATATACTATAAATATAAGAAATAAGAATAAAACTTGTTCTTACCTTAAAAAGTATTATGAGGATTGAGTACACAAATGAAAAGTACCTTGGCAGAGTGCTTGTTACATATAACTGCTCAATAAATGATGACTACGATTATAGCATTTTAATTAGGAAAGATTATATAATAATGGTCACCATTTATGAGTGACCAAGGAGGTAGTCACTCTGTTACCCAGGCTGGAGTACAGTGGCACACCCACCTAATTTTTTTATTTATTGTAGAGACGAAGTCTCATCAAGTTGCCCAGACTAGACTCGAACCCCTGGCTCAGGCAATCCTCTCACCTTGGCTTCCCAAAGTGCTGGAATTATGGATATGAGTCACCCATAATTGTGCCCAGCTCCCTTCAAGAACTTATAAATAGGGATATAGAATATCCCTATAAGAATAAAAATATTAAGGTTAACATTTAATTCACTAGAGCAGAGGCCACCAGATTAAATTAAATAATTTATAATCTCCCAGGCTACTTGCAGCTACATGTCGCCATATGACTAAGTTCTAGCCTCACAGTACTCAAACTGTGTGGCAGGTACCCAGTGAACCACAATGAACTCACAGGAGCACCATGAATATTTAAGAATTTCTAGGGAAACAGTGATAACTGACATGCAAACTACTGGCTTGAGGTAGTTCACAATTTCAACATTAAATTGCACTATACTCTTTTAGATGGCTTTGCAACTTTATAAAGCTGGAGTTTGGATGTGCTGGAATAGAAAGCAAATAGTATGAAAATCAATGTGGAACAAGAAATGAGGGCTGTGATATCTAGGCTGATTCCAAGACTTGAGATAATTGTGGTTATTTAATAATGAAAATGAAAAAAGTAATATTTTAATTTACATGTATTACTTTTTTTTTGTTTGATTTATAGTCTCACTCTGTCACCCAGACTGGAGTGCAGTGGCACACTCCCAGTCACCGCAGCCTCGACCTGCTGGGCTCCAGCGATCCTTCCACCTCAGCCTTCCAAGTAGCTGGAACTACCACACCTAGTTAATTTTTTTTTTAAATTTATTGTAGAGACAAGGTCTCACCAAGTTGCCCGGGTAGGTCTCAAACCCACAGGCTCAGGCAATCCACTCGCCTAGGCCTTCCAAAGTGCTGGGATAACAGGCTGTGCCACCAAGCCCGGCCTACGTTTTCAAACATCTACTAAGTTGTTGGGACATTCATACTTACTATGTTGTTTAAACTGTTAATTATTGCTTTTGGCCTAGGGGTGCCATGAAAAAAAGACAGATACTAAGGCACTAAGAACTAAAAAAATTTGGGGACCTCTGCCCTAACCAATGGGATGGGAGCTGAAGCTACATGCACCTGCCAGGTTATGCCCTTGGAGGGAAACTACTTTAAGAGGAATAACGGCTCCCAAGTCAAGGTCAAATACAAATGACTCCATGTATTCAAGATATCTAAGAAAGAAGTATCAGTGTGAGATGTAGTTTAATGAGGACTGTGTGATTAATAAGGATGTGTAATCAGCTAAGAAACTACAGAAAAGACAGACTCAGAGAAGTAAAGGCAGGCAATGTACGACCAGTGCTGTCCTAAGGAGAGAGATTCCTGGCCTACCTGAGAATCGAATCCATGTCACCATCTATCTGATGACACCACCAAGATCATCCAGCCAACTTGCCTGTGCTGACACCATGCCTGATAAGCATCTTATGTATATAGTCTGACTTTCCATATAAATTTGTTTCAAGAGAAAGAATGTGATACTGAGCAAGCATGAGTTCTTGTATCATGAAAAGATCAGTTACATTGCAGTTTTTCTACACGAGTCTCTTGTGAGTACTGTCAATGTGAGTCTCAGGCTCTTAGAGACCAATCACTGTAAAATGAAACTGTGAGATTTGTCTGGATGGTCAGTCATCCTTCTCCAGGAAGTGCCTCTTTATTAATCCTGCATGTTTATTTTTAATTGTTTTTAAAAAGCCCTGCAGATTAGATGTTTGTCAAATTTTGACAAGAATATTGAGCCACTTCGTTATGGTGACTGATGAGGATATCAGTTTTCACCTAATATGATGCCACTTTGCAGTTTCACAGCTATAGTTAGTTTCAGAGAAATGTGAATTAAGAGAACGTACAGCCAGGCTCAGTGGCTCAGCCTGTAATCCCGCGCCTTGGGAGGCTGAGGTGAGTGGATTGCCTGAGCCCGCGGGTTTGAGACCCGCCTGGGCAACTTGGCAAGACCTCATTTCTTCAATAAATCAAAAATCAGCCGGGCATGGTAGTGCATGCCTGTAGTTCCAGCTACTTGGAAGGCTGAGGCGGAAGGATCGCCGGAGCCCAGCAGGTGGAGGCTGCGGTGGCCAGGAACATGCCACTGCACTCCAGCCTGGGCGACAGAGTGAGACTCCAACTCAAAAAAAAAAAAAAAAAAGAGAGAGAGAGAGAACGTACATTTCTAGTAAGGCTAAATTTAGATGCATTATAACACTGTACTAATGACATAACCAACATTTGCTTTGGAATGATGAAAACATTTCAAGGAACTGAAATACCTTTAAAATATTATTTGGGATGTAATTGTGTCATTTACTTTTACCTTTGATCATTGACTAAATTAAAGCTGTCCCCACCTAAATGGAGAAAGATAGGTGAAACTTTCTTCTATCTTTATTATCACCGATATTCGATTACTACCAATACAATTACATACAATTATTGACAACCACAACAAGACATTTAGTGCCACCTTGTGAATAAATATGGTATTGCAAGAGGGAGAAAGAATATTCCAAGTCCCATTCAAGGAAGACCAAAAAAAAAAAAAATTATTTCATACTAAGTAAAATGAAAACTTAAGTAAAATAAAATTTGTTCCTCTTGGTATGACTTTTTACCTTTACATTAAATAGAAAGAAACTAGCTTTACTGCAGGAAACACTAATAAGTGCGTGGGTGTATAAGGTGATTCCCTCAAGGGTCCTGGTGCTAACCGGCATGAAGACTTCATATACAAGAACATTTAGAATGCTGGGAAATTCTCCAGGAAGGTGGTGAAGACCCACGATAGAGCAAAGTGCAGGCAGCTAATGCTGTTTGCCTTCTAGTACCTATTAATATTTCCCCTTTTTTCTCCCCAGAAGAACTAGTTCTAGCTGGGGGGAATCAAAGAACCGTTTCCTGGAAGGTATTTTGAAAATCTCAGGGCCTGAGATATTAAGTGACCAATTCTACAGAACAAAACAAATAATTGCCTCACATCCTACATAATTTCTAAATGTCTTACTAGAAACTTAATATAAATGAAAAATCAATTTACAGTGCTCTGAATCTAGACTCTGACTCTGTTTTACATATAAAGAATTTTAAAGTTTTAATATATATGGAATTTTCCAGGAATGCAACTACAGTATAAGTTAAGGAAAGATAATACTTTATTTGTTCACAATTTTATCAACAATTGTTTACTATTTCAGAAGATCACTACAGATGTCTGCTCACCCCTCCACACCCCAGCATTTGCACCTGTTGGTGACTCTAAGTCCCCAACTATTTCATTATTTATTCTTATGTAGCTACAAATGCATATTTAAATATATTTTGCTTTACTATAATTAGTTTCCTTTGACCTCTCCTTTACATACAGTTTCATATAGTTTTTTTTTAAATATATATACCTAGATAGGGGTGGCTATTCACCTAAGTTTTCTCTTCATCCTGGACACATAGCTACACTACATTTTCCAGCTTCCCTTGCAATTAATGTAACCATATGACTGCACCAACTCAAGTAAATGGAATGTGGTGTATGTCATCTCTGAATTGAGAATTTTAAGAAGCACCATGTTTCTTCCATATTCTCTTAGCATCTGTTCTCTGGATGCAGACAGTAAGAAGTTCGCAAAATGGACGACAGTAATAAGAGCCACAGAGTGAAAGGAACCTTCACTCCTGAACCTCCACATGGAGAAAAGTTGTCTGCTGATCAGGAACACACATGCTGAACTGTTACAAGAGTAAGAACTAAATTTCTATTGATTTGTTTGAGCCACTGTACACATTAGCTCCTACTTGTAGTTGTTTAGCCCTCTCTCACTGACATAGGTTATAGTATCTGCAAATTTCTTTTCAGGATGGCAGAGGACAATACAAATCATGTTATAAAAAGGAGATATTCAGTCCAACATGTTTGAGAATGTTTTCTCTCGCCTGTGTTACTCAATACAATAGCCACTAGACACATGGCCATTGAGCACTTGAAACATGACCAATCCAAATTGAGCCATGCTATAAGATAAAATGTGACTGAATTTGAAAGACTCGGGACAAAAATATAAAATCTCATTAATAATTATGACGATTGATTACATGTTGAAATACTATTTTAGATATGGGTAAATAAAATATATTATTAAAATTAATTTCATGTCTCTTTTTACCCTTCTAATATGGTTACTCCAAAATTCACAAGTGCATACGTGGGTCAAACTGTATTTCTATTAAACAGCCCTACTCTAGGTGTTTTGCATTGGGTCTCACTTCCCAGGTTCCAAATCACCAGCTCCATATCTAAGGTAGGTGGGACTTTGTCTCTGATCTCTTCCCTAGTTTGACAGTCTCCATTGTTCCAGGTGGGAGTCTCCACCTCCCACCAACTGTGGACTCTGGTGATGTATGTGGAGGGAGATACTCGGGACTCCATAAGCCTAAGCGCACTGAGCACTTTATACTTTCATCAGTTACTTTGAAAAGAATTTGAGAGAGAAAGGAGAGAGAGAAAAAAAATTCAGCCACAATGATTCCAAGCGGGAAGTATCATTAAAAGAAATATAAAAGGACAATGCCTTTATCTTCACCACAGCCAAAGTGCCCTTCCTAAGCAAAAGTGTCCTCTTGGCTCAGTGTGAGTTTCACAGTTCCACGTTCTGTGTTAAGGAGTAACTCTATTCCTGATTCAACAATGGCATTGTATGCCATAACCACTGTGAGCACGGCTTTGGTTCCTTTCAAGCCTGTATCATACTGAAAACTATTTTTTGTAAGAGAACCCTAAAATAAGCATTTTTATGGAACTTTAAAATATATCAGGAAGCCGGGCTCGGTGGCTCAGCCTGTAATCCTGCGCCTTTGGGAGGCTGAGGTGAGCAGATTGCCTGAGCCCGCGGGTTCGAGACCCGCCTGGGCAACGACACCTCATCTCTACAATAAATCAAAAAATCAGCCGGGCGTGGTAGCACACGCCTGTAATTCCGGCTACTTGGAAGGCTGAGACGGAAGGATCGCCAGAGCCCAGCAGGCGAGGCTGCGGTGGCCGGGAGTGGCCACTGCACTCCAGTCTGGGTGACCGAGTGAGACTCCAACTCAAAAAATATATATATATATATATCAGGAAAAAAGACAAACATTTATTTAGCAGATGCATTACTATGCATTTTTCGTTAATTATACCATTTAATCCCCAAAATTACAATGACCCATTATACAAATGGAGAAACTGAGGCTTAGAGAATTTACCCAAGGTGTTACTGCTAGTAAGTACAGAACCCAAAATCATCTAGAGCTGTCTGGACCAGTTTTTCTTATGTTGCTGCTAAGTCCTAAAAATAGAAATGTCGCAATAATACTCGAAAGAGATCAATTTTGATCATTAAATTATACAAGAGAGACCCCAAAACAACCAGAATTATCTTTTTTTTTTGAAGGTGGACCTCTTATAGTACAGGTTTCCCCCATGAGGTAGCATTCTAGAAACCCATCAGCATCAATGTACTAGCTAGCTTTGTGAGAGGCTGTGTTCAGCTTCAGTTAATTTCTTTTTTAGAGGTTCTTTCAACAATTTGCCCATTTCATGATGGGTGATTTACTAGTGTACCTGCCCACACTGCGCTGAATGTTCAGCAATTTTCAACCAAAAACAGTATGACCTCTGTGAACTATCTTCCCTATTCACCTGATCTTGCCCCAAGTGACTTTTGTTGTTGTTGTTGTTTTGTTTCCCCAGATGAAAAAAGTCCTCAAAGGGAAAGATTTTGCCAGCGTGGAAGAGGTGAAACAAAAAACAGCAGAAGCACTAAAAGGCAATAAAGTTGATGTGTATTGGGCACATTTTACAAATTCAAAAACTATTTTGAGCAGTGGAAAAAGAGTCTTGATAGGTTTATTGCATCAAATGGAGAGTACTTTGAAGCTGACTAAAGTTTAAACATGTAAGAATATATACACAATTTTTTAATAAATAAATTCCAGACTTTTGGGGGTCCCCCTGCATATAATTAATCAGCCACCAGACTAATTCCTGAGATGAGCCATTGTATAATTATATATGCCAGAATCACGTATTGAGGCCTTAGAGTTTTGGTCTAAGGCTACAAGAGTTCACCCGACCCTACCCACCATTTCAGACCTTGACACAACAGTTCCCAGGAATCCAGAGGACAGACCCCATCCAGCTTTTTGTCTTGCACAGCCTAGACTCATCAGAGGAAGCTATGAGACCACACCTTCAGGAGGTCAGTTAGTGCTCCCCCCAAGGCCAAGACTGTGGTGCCTAACTGAGCATGTGAGAGACAGCAAATCCACTGGTTTCACAGGACAGGTCTAGAGGACTTGGATAATTTTGTACTAGGCAGCTTTTATTTCCAGTCTCTGCTCCAAGCACTGGCAGTACAGACAGAAACAAGAAAAATGAGGACTCCATATTCATGGAGCTCTCAGTGACTATATGAGCAGTGACTAACATGGAGGAAAGACCAGAGAATTCCCTCAGAATGTTCTGGATTGTATAAGATGTGTCCACTCAGGATACAATGCTGGGATGGGCAGAAGTATCCCAACAATTGAGATTCATTTCCCTCAAATAAGTGGGATGAAGAACTTGGAGCAGATTAAACATGATTTAGAGAAAGAAAAGAATTTGCCTTTTTTTTTTATCATCCCATGTTGTAGAATAAAATCCATACCAACTACATATTCTCTCTGTGATGTTGAAGCAGGCATAGTTAGCACAGTTTAGAAGTAGTTAGGCAGGTTTTCTTAGGCAGTTCTAAGATAGAATAGAGTAAGTATTCTGACCTCTTTTTTATCCTTATATGTTCACCTAACTGGCCAGGCATATCAGACCTGACCACCTTGCAGGTCAGAGTGCAGAACCACCAGTGCAGTAAATCACAAAAACAACAGGGAATTACCCAAAACACAGACATGATGTTCTAAGAAAAGCCCAAATCTAGTTAGACATTAGCTTTCATTACTTAGAAGGTCTTTGTGACCTTAAAAGTTGAGAGATGGTCATCGAAACTTTTGACCAGATACCTGCAGCCCTCCGCTCTTAGTTCATGGTTGCTTAATCATCGTTGTAAAAGTATGTAAAGCTTCTTGCCAAAGGCAAGCACATGCCCTCTCTTAAGGGACCCATATTCTCCTTTGAGCATGTATCTTTCTTTCTAATAAATTCTATCTTAAACTATACACTGGACTTTCAGACCAAATTTTTCTCTGTGTTGGAGTCAAAGAAACCATAGAGCAACACACCATACCCCACCCGACATCAACGTAACTAATATGACTTTGTCATTTTGGTTTTTTTTTCAAAACTGATGTAAAAGCTTAAGACCCTTGCCACCTTATTTCTCTGTGATATATACTAAGGATGTCTAATGTTGGTATTCCATTCTTCCAAGTTTGGTCCAGCAACAGTTTAGGGATTGGTATGTACTTCCAGTTTTAGTAATTGAAGTCACATCTCCCTTGGCTAAGTGAATAAGTAAGAAGAGTATTCAAGTCACAACAGCTTTTAGGGTTGTGCCTAGGCTCAAAAAATTTCTAACCTTTTATAATAACAGCCTGTCTTTATTCCTAACCAAATGCTTAATGAAAATCTTCTTAGAAGAGCTAAGAATTAAAGTCAATTCTCTCAGAGAATAAACAACCTCAGCAACACTAGTGAACCTTTATAACCAGGACTCCCTTAAGGTTAAATCTTGAAAGAACATCCAACAAGAACATTGGAAGAATGTCATGGTGGCAGCTGATTTCAGCAGTTATTTCTTTTTCCTTCCTCAGAAATATTTTCAGCTCTATTCTTTACAACCTCAAAGAAATGTCCTCCCTTGGGAAAGATCAGACTGCATCAAACAGCAAAAGGAATAACATATATGAAATCCCACCCTCCTCTGGCAAGATAGTCCTCAGTCTGTTCTAGTCCTGTATGAGGCATAAGGGTAAGCGAGACTTGAATATAGTCGTACTCAAAATTCAAGAGGCAGGGCCCTCCCAGCAGAACTCTCCATCAAAATCCGAAAATGTAAATGAATTTGCCCCTTACCTGAAAGAATGGCAAATTGTCTGTGAAGTTGTTCTATTATATCCACTGCCACCAAAGGCCTGACTTCCTGCTGCATAATTTCATCTGCACAAATGAAATACAAATTAGGTTAAATACTTGCAGGTTGTAAAACAAAATTAAAAAGAAAAAAAAAAAAAAGGCAAGTTCCACTACCAGGACAATCTGAAATTGAGCAAGATATGGTTCTGGGCACATTATTCCCTGGAGAACTCAATTCCTTAGATGAAATTGGGGCCATTTCTGGGTTTTGAGACTTATACCTATGAGCATGGGAACATATTTCTAGAGCTTTAAACTTTAGGTAAACCCACTGGATGGTCTCATTACCAAGGCAGGCATTTGCCTACTCTTTTGGGTCTGCAGAAAGACATTTTAAACACAAACCACCTGAGTTACCAGAGCTCCTCTCAAGATGGGTCATAAAATCAATCTGAGAATTGTGAGAGTTCTTTGATGTTTGTTTCTCTCCTTCCTCCCTCACTTGCTTTTTGCTTTCCTTCTTATCTCTATCACTTCCCCCACTTCCAGAATAATTTAAGGGGCCTCTTCCCACTGATAAAGATATTTAAGAAGCACTTCTCCATTTTGCTATTTGAAGATTCTCCTTACTGATAAAAGTTTATAGGTTTCTAAGGCAAAAATTCAAGTCTTTCAAGCACAAACCTACAATGGGCCTCTAACACTAACAAGTGACTAATAAGCCCTGTGATTTGCCTTTCTATCCATTTGGGAAAAGAATGAGAGAAAGAAGGGAGGACTGAGTGGAATCTCTTAACTGGGGAGAGGAAGGCATCTTCATGCTCTCTCTCTGCCGAAGATACTATCGTCATTTAACTGTTTCCCAGGGAATCTTAAGGAATGAACTGGTTATTGTTTCTACAGGAGCTAAACATCTGGTCAGATTAAGGCAAAACCCAGATGGCCTGTGTCCTGACACTAAATGGGAATTTTCTATTGATTCAGTGTGGGGTCATAGTAACATTATGATATTCTAATGCTAACCAATCGGAAGGTAATATTCAGGAAGCTCCTCCCAGAGGCTTGGTCTCTATTCTCAACTTTGGTGTGGAGGTTAAAGATGATGTCTATGGAGATGTACACACTAGGTACTTAGTAAATGCTAGTTATATCCATTGCTATGAACATATGGGCCTTTCTCATATTTGATATTTGCTTTCTGAAAATCTTGAGGGAGTCAGCTTAAGCCCCAAGATCCTCCTCAAGGAATTCTCTCATTGTTTCTGGAGGAAAGGGGATAAATCCAGACCAGAGCACCTTCATCCCAATACCCCTTTTACCCCAAAACCACTAAAGATTCAAAGAATTCCTGCATCACCGTTCATTTGGGTGGGTGTAATAATGTTACTTTAGTTATAAAGATAAGAAAGATCTCTGTTAGAAACGCAAATTGAAGCATTTAATAGTAAGATAATATGAAATCTGAGATCTGCTTTAAAAGTACTCCAATAGCTGGGCGTGGTGGCATGCTCCTGTAGTACCAGCTACTTGGAAGGCTGAGACAGAAGGATCACCTGAGCCCAGCAGGTCAAGGCTGCAGTGGTCGTGAGCATGCCACTGCACTCCAACCTGGGTAACAGAGTGAGACTCCAATTAAAAAAAAACAAACAAAACTCCAGAACTCCTCTCCACCAAAAGATTTCATGGGGTAGGAGGCAGATGAAACATGACTGACAAAATGTGGATAATTGTTGAAGCTGGTTGATAGGTTCATGGGGTTCATAATATAATGCTTTTCCTATGTTTCAAATTTTCCATAATACAATGCAAAATACAAATGGACAACACAAAGAATTTGAGTAGAAACAGAAGTTATGTAATTGAAGAGTTTTTCAGAACACAATCTCCCCGTGGTCTAGGAAAGTGACATACTCAAAAATAGAACTTCATAGATGCTTTTTTTTTTTGAGTCAGAGTCTCATTCTGTCACCCAGGCTGGTGTACGGTGGCTCAATCATGGCTCACTGCAGCCTCAACTTCCTGGGCTCAGGTGATCCTTCCACCTCAGCCTCCCAAGCAGCTGGAACTACAGGTGTGGGTCACTACGCCAAGCTAATTTATTTTTTGGGGCAGAGATGAGGTCTCATTATGTTGTTAAAGCTGGTCTCAAACTCCTGGTCTTAAGCAATCCTCCCACCTAGGCCACTCGAAGTTTTGGGAGCCACCATGCCCAGCCCAGTGATTGTGTTTCATACCTGAGGGAGGATATTCAAGAGAAAACGAACCCAGAGGAAAACAAAAATCATAAGGCATAATTTATTGTTCTTATAACTCAATATTTGGTGTGTGCTTTTTTTTTTTGAGTTGGAGTCTCACTGGGTCTCCCAGACTGGAGTGCAGTGGCCGCTCCCGGCCACTGCAGCCTCGCCTGCTGGGCTCCGGCGATCCTTCCGCCTCAGCCTTCCGAGTAGCCGGAATTACAGGCACGCGCTACCACGCCCGTCTGATTTTTTGATTTATTGTAGAGATGAGGTCTCGCTGCCCAGGTAGGTCTTGAACCCGCGGGCTCAGGCAATCCACTCACCTCAGCCTCCCAAAGGCACGGGATTACAGGCTGAGCCACCGAGCCCGGCTTGATGTGTGCTTTAAATTAAATTACACATCTTAAGTTAAAGATGTAAAATCTGAAAGGGACAATAACTATGAGCTAAGCCAACCATCCCCCGCCTCAAATCACTTTAAATGACAAAATGAAGACCCAGAGAGATTTTGAACTTGCCTGTGATTATACAACAAATTAAGTGTAGAGCCTGGATTGGCCCTGGATCACCAGATTCTAAGAGGGATTGATGGAGTTCTTAGACTCTTGGCCTTGAATTACAGAGGCTTCTACCATGGCTTCTACCATCCCTGAGAGGCTAACTAGTGTCTCTCATCAGGCTGAGGTTTGCCGAGCCCTTCAACAAAGACCTTTCTCACCAGCCTCGTGGGGTTACCAAATGAACAGAACTAAAATTCATGATTTGTTTTTCTAAGAATAGAAGCAAGCTTACTTGCCTTTAGCCCAATTTTTGCTGAGAGTGTTTGGCCCCTAGCCAGGGGTTAACCTTGAAGTCTTTTAGCAAAAGAGCCACATGACCCAACCTGGCCAGCTGCAACAGATCACAAACTTTCAGACTCAGCATCTGACTTAGAGTATGGAGATGACTTGCAGATGCACCCAGTTTTTAGCGATGCCTGATATTTGTGGGCCTGCTGGAATGGGGACATGTTCAGTTATGCCCCCAAACAGGGCACATTTATGCTCTGGGCAATGAGACACAAAGGCTGCCCTGCCACTGGCAGGCCCTGCTACCTACTCCCACACAGATGGGGAAAGGAAGGAAGGGCTGGAGCACTTTGGTCCTAAGGGAACACCTACTGTTGCAGGGGAAAAGGACCTGCCTCAGACCCAAACAGCCTTGCATGCAAGAGCCCCTTCTGCCACCTTCTAGTTGGATGATCAGGGCAAGTACACTCTGCGTCTGTGTTCTCACCTGTAAAACAATTTTTCCTTCTCCCACGCTCAGCTGAGCATAACCAATGACCCACCTCACGGTCCTGTGTGGAGGCTTCCTGCTTACTCTGCTTTTTGGGATGTGTGTGCGCGTTAGGGAGAAACTTGTCTCTTTGTAACTCACATAAGGCAAAGGGAAGTGTTAACTCAATTTCAACACAGTTTCTATCCTGGGCAAAGTAACAGATACACCAGAGAACAACTTGTCTCTTTTCTATCCTTGATAAGTAAACAGAAGCCTGACTGCGTTTTACCCTCCACCCACAATTCAGAAATGCAGAAGAGATCAAAGGCTACAGAGCCTCCAGCCTCCTAGGTGATGTTCCATGGGAAATCAGCTGTAGGCAGCTAGCAATGTCCCTGTGTTACCCACTTCCCAATCTGAGAGGACTGCAATGGGCTCTGGGGCAGGACCTTTACTAGTAAGTGAAGCCGACCCTTATAGCAGAAGGCAGGAAACAGTGTGATGATGTCTAGGTGCCGCCTGAATGTTGCAACTGGTAAGGGGAAAAGGCCAGTGAAACCTTTAGCGTCCCACTCCTGCCGTTCTGAAATTTCTGTCACTTTGTGATTTAAAAAATTCAAGTATGGTCTGGAGCAGAGAGGAACAACAGCACCAAGTTTGGCAGACATTGTGACATCACTACTTTGCCCAGAGAATCAGGTAGACAGAAAGAATGGAAGGGGGCTGGGTGTGGTGGCTCATGCCTGGAATCCCAGCACTTTGGAAGGCTGAAGTAAGAGAATTGCTTGAGCCCAGAAGTTCGAGACCAGTCTGGGCAACATAGCAAAGCCTCATCACACACACACATACACACACACACACACACACACACACACACACACACACACACACACACACTCTTAGCCGGGAGCGGTGGTACCTGCCTAAAGTCCCAGCTACTAAGGAGGCTGAGGTGGAAGGATTGCTTAAGTCCAGGTTGTGATTGTCATGATCGTGCCACTCCACTTCAACCTGGGCAACAGAGTGAGACCCCAACCAAAAAAAAAAAAAAAGGGAAGCGTCTGCCAGTTAGCCAAACTGTTTCTCAACAACTGTACTTACAGCAGCTGACAAGTCATGGACCAGAAAGACACTCCACTTTTAGGCAAGACATAACATGCCTTTCTAGTTAATAACACTAATAGAACACCAGCTGTGAACTGGGCACTAACAATATACTTGACAAATTAACCAGTTTAGTTACACAGTGACAGAAAAAGGATGGTCCCTAGCACTCAAATGAATCCCTCCAGCCTGCCCTGCCCACCCCCATGTCCACAACTACAACAGACTTGACCAGACCAGAGGCTCAGAGACACCAGTCGCTGGGCTGGTACCCAAAGCCAGCCCATAGGGACACTCTGTTTTTCACTTCATCTTATTGGCCAGGTCAGAAATGGTACAAACACATTTGGTCCTGTCCTATAGTGATGTGTAAGCTGCCGCCTAACAATGACTTTATCATCATAGTCTTATCCATAAACTAATGATGGGTTAAAGGCTTTTTTTTTTTTTTTTGAATTGGAGTCTCACTCTGTCACCCAG